AGTCTACCATACAGTGATTGTGGGAGGAACAATAATGAGTCTACCATACAGTGATTGTGGGAGGAACAATTATACGTCTACCATACAGTGATTGTGGGAGGAACAATAATAAGTCTACCATAGAGTGAGTGTGGGAGGAACAATAATAAGTCTACCATACAGTGATTGTGGGAGGAACAATAATGAGTCTACCATACAGTGATTGTGGGAGGAACAATAATGAGTCTACCATATAGTGATTGTGGGAAGAACAATAATGAGTCTACCATACAGTGATTGTGGGAGGAACAATAATAAGTACACCATACAGTGATTGTGGGAAGAACAATAATGAGTCTACCATAGAGTGATTGTGGGAGGAAAAATAATAAGTCTACCATACAGTTATTGTGGGAGGAACAATAATGAGTCTACCATACAGTGATTGTAGGAGGAACAATAATGAGTCTACCATACAGTGATTGTGGGAGGAAGAAAAATAAGTCTACCATAGAGTGATTGTGGGAGGAACAATAATAAGTCTACCATAGAGAGATTGTGGGAGGAACAATAATAAGTCTACCATAGAGTGATTGTGGGAAGAACAATAATAAGTCTACCATACAGTGATTGTGGGAGGAACAGTAATAAGTCTACCATAGAGCGATTGTGGGAGGAACAGTAATAAGTCTACCATACAGTGACTGTGGGAGGAACAGTAATAAGTCTACCATACAGTGACTGTGGGAGGAACAGTAATAAGTCTACCATACAGTGACTGTGGGAGGAACAGTAATAAGTCTACCATACAGTGATTGTGGGAGGAACAATAATAAGAACACCATACAGTGATTGTGGGAAGAACAATAATGAGTCTACCATACAATGATTGTGGGAGGAACAATAATAAGTCTACCATGGAGTGATTGTGGGAGGAACAATAATAAGTCTACCATGGAGTGATTGTGGGAGGAACAATAATAAGTCTACCATGGAGTGATTGTGGGAGGAACAATAATAAGTCTACCATGGAGTGATTGTGGGAGGAACAATAATAAGTCTACCATGGAGTGATTGTGGGAGGAACAATAATAAGTCTACCATGGAGTGATTGTGGGAGGAACAATAATAAGTCTACCCTAGAGTGATTGTGGGAGGAACAATAATAAGTCTACCCTAGAGTGATTGTGGGAGGAACAATAATAAGTCTACCCTAGAGTGATTGTGGGAGGAACAATAATAAGTCTACCCTAGAGTGATTGTGGGAGGAACAATAATAAGTCTACCATGGAGTGATTGTGGGAGGAACAATAATAAGTCTACCCTAGAGTGATTGTGGGAGGAACAATAATAAGTCTACCCTAGAGTGATTGTGGGAGGAACAATAATAAGTCTACCCTAGAGTGATTGTGGGAGGAACAATAATAAGTCTACCCTAGAGTGATTGTGGGAGGAACAATAATAAGTCTACCCTAGAGTGATTGTGGGAGGAACAATAATAAGTCTACCCTAGAGTGATTGTGGGAGGAACAATAATAAGTCTACCATACAGTGATTGTGGGAGGAACAATAATAAGTCTACCATACAGCCATTGTGGGAGGAACAATACGTCTACCATACAGTGAATATCTGCAATGATACGTTAACGTAGTGTCCTCACAGTAATTATGCCTTAATTGAGTTACATAATAAAAACTTTGCTCAAATCAGTGTTTACACCTATATGACATGGCGAATTACAGATACGATACCTGGGCTGACCACCGGGTTATCGTTGTAATATATACCTACCTTTAATTTGGCGTCATCGATATGACTCAATTTGTCCGGATTCCTCACCAGGGCTGTTACCTCATGACCCCTTTCTAATGATTCTTGTACAAGCTGGAGTCCCGAGGGACCTGTTGCACCAAGCACAGCAATCTTCATTTTAGAAGATGAGTGTCCACGCCTGTCCAGTCGTGTGGTCAGTGCATCGATACTTTGACCTTTAACGATCGACACTTATCAGTGTGTGGACACAGGCTATAGAAAGACGCAGACTCACGTACACACGTGTGTGTGTAGGCTGGTATGTGTCAGTGCCTACTCTATCACGTCCTCCAGCTGTATTAGAGACGTTAACACTGGTTTATTACGTCTCAGACTGCCCGAACAGTAGGCCCATTATTAAGTGTTTAACGCTTTCTATGGATAAAACACGAAACGTCTGTAATGGGTCAGGAGTTGTCTCCCCCAATATTATCAAAAGCATCGTTCTCTATCGCCATTTATAAATCATTGTCGAACGTTGACATAGCTGTGTTTCGCCCGTCCTTCTTATGCTGTAATGACATATGAACTTCATACTTTACATTTACATGCTAGAAATGGCAGAGAAACATAACAAGGCTCTGTGTTGTCACATGTGTGTGTGTGTAGCTGCGCTAATGTAGCTTTCTGACGACAAGAGATTTTTAGCTCACCGGGTCCGAAGGACCAAGGTGAGCTTATGCCATACCGTGTCGTCCCTCGTCCGTCCGTCCGTCCGTCAACAATTTTTAGCTCACCTGGTCCGAAGGACCAAGGTGAGCTTATGCCATACCGCAGCGTCCGTCGTCCGTCAACTTTACACTACTTGTCATGAACCACTGAGCGGATTTTAACAAAATTTGGTGTGGAGCATCCTTGGGTTAAGAAGAACCTATTTTGTATAAATGGTGGGTCTGGCCCCTCAGGGGCCTGAGGGGCGGGGCCAAATAGGGGAAATATAGCAAATTCTTCTTTAAAATCCTTCTTCTTCTGTAGGAATGAAAGGATTTGGTCCATATTTGGACAGAAGCATCCTTTGGGAAAGTGGAACAAAGTTTGTATAAATGGTGGGTCTGGCCCCCATGGGGCCTGAGGGGCAGGGCCCAATAGGGGAAATATAGCAAATTCTTTAAAATCCTTCTTCTTCTGAAGGAATGGAAGGATTTGGTCCATATTTTGTCTGAAGCATCCTTGGGTGAAAGGGAACCAATTTTGTATAAACCGTGGATCTGGCCCCCAGGTGCCTGAGGGGCGGGGCCCAATAGGGGAAATATAGCAAATTATTCTTTAAAATCCTTCTTCTTCTGTAGGAATGAAAGGATTTGGTCCATATTTGGTGTGGAGCATCCTTGGGTAGTCGGGAAACAATTTTGAATAAACCATGGGTCTGCCCCCCCCAGGGGCCTGAGGTGTGAGGCCCAATAGGGGAAACATAGCAAATTATTCTTTAAAATCCTTCTTATTCTGTAGGAATGAAAAGATTTGGTCCATATTTGTTGTGGGTCATCCTATGCTCTGGATATCAATCATATTTAATCAAAAGCATTCATGGGATGCATGGATTCAAAATTATACAAATGGTGGGGCTGATCCCTCAGGGGGCTGAGGGTCGGGGCCAAAAAGGTTTATTTGGCTATATTGCTTTAAGCGACTTCTTCTCTGGAACTGAGAGTTTGATATCAACAATATTTGACTGGAAGCACCCCTAGATGGTGGAGATTCAAAATTGTACAAATGGTTGTGCTGACCCCCCAGGGGGCTGAGGGGCGGGGCCAAAAAGGGGTAATTTGGCTATATTTCTACAAACGACTACTTCTGTAGAACTGTGCTCTGGATATCAATCATATTTAATCAAAAGCATTCATGGGATGCAGGGATTCAAAATTATACAAATGGTGGGGCTGATCCCTCAGGGGGCTGAGGGGCGGGGCCAAAAAGGGTTATTTGGCTATATTGCTTTAAGCGACTTCTTCTCTGGAACTAAGAGTTGGATATCAACCATATTTGACTGGAAGCACCCCTAGGTGGTGGGGATTCAGAATTGTACAAATGGTGGGGCTGATACCCCAAGGGGCTTTGGGCGGGGCCAAAAGGGGGCAATTTTGCTATATTGCTATAAACGACTTCTTCTGTAGAACTATGCCATGGATATCGATCATATTTGGTCGGAAGCATTCATGGGAGGCAGGGATTCAAAATTGTACAAATGGTGGGGTTGACCCCCGGGCTAAGGGGTGGGGCAAAAAAAAAATATTGCTTGGAAATGGTTGAGATCCCCACCATTTAACCAAATATACAATTGCTGCGTATAAAGAGAAGAACGCACATTTGCTTCCAGGATGGCTCTAGGGTCTGGCCCCACCCTTGGAGATATAGTCCCTGGGCCATAACTTTAAAACGGTTGAGATCCCCACCCAAAAACTATATGTAGAAATGCTGGGCATAAAAAGACGTCTGTTGTCATGATATTAGAATAGACCCTGGGGTCTGTCCGAACCCCTATGAACCTAGTTTCTGAGTCAAAGCTTGGAAACAGTTGAGATCCCCACCCTATAATCATATAGACAATTGCTGATTATAAAGAGATGAATACACATATGCTTCCAGGATGGCCTTGGGGACTGCCCCAGCCTTGGAGACTTAACCCCTGGGTCATAACTTCGAAATGGTTAAGATCCCCACCCTAAAACTATATATACAATTGTTGGGCATAAAGAGACGAATGCAGTCATTATATTAGAATTGACCCCGGGGTCTGCCCCACCCTTGCAGACTTAACCCCTGGTCATAACTTTGAAACGTTTGAGATCCTCACCCCAAAACTATATATACAAATGCTGGGCAAAAAGAGACAAATGCAGTCATGATATTAGAATTGGTCCTAGGGTCTGGCCACAACCCTAGGGACCTAGTTTCTGAGTCACAGCTTGAGATCCCCACCCCATAACCATACATAAAATTGCTGGGCATGAAAAATCTAATACAGATATGCTACAAGGATTGGCCTTGGGGTCTGGCATATTCCCTTGGATCTCATTTGGAGAATATTTTGCCATAATTGCTTAGATATCCAGGTGAGCGATACAGGCCCTATGGGCCTCTTGTTTATATAGAGGTCCTATGCCAACTAATGGAGCAAAATCAAAAGTGTTAATCTGTAAAATTACATATAATTCACGCCTCATATTAGTATAATGTTATCCAAATATTGTATAATTGTTTAAAAAACGAATCCTTACCAATGAAAAAACCCCACTCTTTCACGAAATTAGCCAATTCTGTCTTTGGGGAAAAAATAGAAACGACCGCCACGACAGATCACGCGTGATGTTATCTCAATTATCCTTTCTATATATGGCCTGCATGGCCAAATGTTTACTACAATTTCCATAGTGGGTCTATAGACATCTGACCTATATCGGAAGAGAGACGAATTTTCCAACATGGCGATCAATTCATATTTCGATTGCGCTTGCTACGTTAACTTGATAATTTAACGAGAGTTTAACTTCAAGTTATACAGGATATCAACAGAAATAGTTCATACTACATTCCTATTTATGGATTCGGACCATTTTGCTGCCAATTCAATCTAATATCGGCCCGGTGTGAATCACATCCGGCTTGCTCCGTTACAAGGCATGGGTTCGATTTAATACCCGGCCGGGGCAGAGGAGGTCGGGTATTAATAGTAGTACTAGTGTGTGTGGTGTTACCGTTAGACTTTGCTGGTGGATTTCCTAGTCACTAGATTAACTGTAACTTTGATGAACAAAAGATAGCTGTTGAATAGTGTCGGGGTTCATATTAAACACACTTTACACACTGTCATATTAACCAGTATTCTCTTAAAAGTTTTGAAATGCATAAAAGTAAGTTGGTGTTATTCACATTCCCTTGCGTTTGAACAGTAGTTTGGACCATTTAACACGACATATCTTCTTAACAGTCCATTTTCCTCAACGCCAAAGTTAACAGTTAATAACACGGATTGTTAAAGGGTGAAGAGCCATATGTTTTTTGATGAATGTATGTGTTGTATGCGCTGCCACTTATGTTACATTGTTATCCCTATATTCATAGTCTGTCTAAATGCCCAGTCTGACCACTTGAATGGTTCAGGAAAGCCTGACTCCATACTCAGAGGTACTACAGTCATCATCTTTGGTGAATGAGGGTGTACATTGTAAAATTGGGATTCCTGCCCCATCCCTAGGGGCTAGGGCGGGGCCCCAAAGGGAACATTTACCAATATATATATATATATATATATTATCCTTTGATGACATGACAAGTATTGTATTTCACTTAGTGTACATGCTGATTTCTACATCACATCTAAACAATAAAATAAAGCTACCAGTATATTTGATATAACTCAATTGACCGCTAAGGCCCTTGGGCCTCTTGTTTTAAGTTGAGACATTTTTTTCTTTAATCAGTTATTTTTGTCCGAACCAGAAGCCGTACTTATCGGCAGCACGAAACATTTTTACAACTTAAACAAATGCCCTTTTTCCCGTTTTCAATGCGTATTTCGATTCTATCTGAACTCGAAAATAATTTTTTATAGAAAACAAGTTGTTGCATGATCATAAAAAAAAGTTTGCTTCAGCAATATAATTAAATCAAACTATTTTACTGAACCCGGGAATATTATAAACTTTGTAAATATAATAGCGCATGTATCTTATTTGACCCCAAGTACCGACAGAGGAGAGAATAGACTAATCACAACAGTTTTCCCCTGGAGGGCCCCATAGCAAAATCAAACTAACCAGTCACCTATATCCCTTCCTTTCGCATAAACTATTGTATATAGAAACATAAAGTAAACTCTCTCCGATACATGCCATTAACATAGCAAAATAAGTTCATCTGTGTTCCAACTGAGACAAAGATACTAGCGAAGTTAATATTTTTAGATATTTATTCATAACATAAACAGCATTTCTGTTGATTCCATTTCAGCTTTATACCGGCTATCCGGAAGAATACATGCACCGAACTAACTGCTAGGGCTTCAATATCTGCAAAATATCTCGTATTTCATTATTATTGACTCTAATGTACCTAAGACTCTTCTAAGTTTTTGGCTCCATGAGAGGAACCGCAGTATTGCAATAATGATTCCGTAACGTAATTCTTGCGCTATTTTTTGACCATTTGGCAACTTTTCGCTTCGTAGCTGACGCGGTCCCACGGTCAATTATTTTGTTTACAATGAAATGGCGTGATACGCGCATGCGTTATAGCTGAGAAATCCTTGACTAAAACGTTGGCCAGACAGGTAGAAATCCCGATAATTATCTTAAAATTATTAATTTTTATGAATATATATCAGCAAAATCCGATCGTTATTTTCCATAAGGAGACTCACCTGATATGTTTATGTAGTATTTGAAAAAAAGACACAAACAGTTACTTCACCGTGATGGTAAACTAGTTAAGCTTCCATAAAACTACTCCATTTACCAATCACAGCGATAGTCTTGACAAAGCTAGCTCCAGAAATCACCCTGACTCTAACTCAACTCTTTCAAATCTCACTCGACTCTGGTGTGGTACCCAATCGGGAACCGTCGCAACTTTCCGTAAACGAGAACATTCTCAAAGTGCCGAAGGTTCCCGATTGGTGCGGTACCGATAGACTTGGTGAATAGTGAGACAAACAGACAGATTCAAATTACCGGCTAGTGTCCATGACTTGCATCACATGTAAATCATAAGAGCACATTATCCATACCAACATCATGTCACATCTGCACCAACTTACCATAGTAACTACATTTCAACATGGTTTTATATCCCAACAATTCACAGAAACACAACTAATCCCGACTGTTGACCTTTTTCGTAACCTAGAAAATAAACAAACATGTTTAATATTGCTTGGTGATCTTTCTTAAGCATTTGATCAAGTCACTCGCGAAAGACTCTTGTCCAAGCTACATTTTTTAAATTTAGGAAACGCACACTCTGCTATGCTTTAAAAAGACATCTGGACTCCAGGAGACTTCACGGTGATACACACTGACATTGATAACTGACAAACGTGGGAGGATAAATGCCAAAAGAACTTAAATGCCAGTAAATGTTGCATAATGTATGTCAGTAAAATTTTAGTAAACAGAAACAACTTTGTGCGATGTTTAGGTTGCTTGTGTTTTACGTCCTTTTTACAGCTATGGCCATGTACCATGTAAGTATAGTCTTGGCCGAAAAACGACACATCTATCACCTCTTAATGTATCAGAATTTAAAACACATTTTATCCTTGGCTATCATCTACAATCATTATACACAAAAAGTTACAGAGATTAGATGGACTGAATCCCAATTGGAGATAAAAGTATTCCCTAATTTTAAAACGTCTGGTTATCTAAATGAAAACAGCGAGTTATTGAAAGTACAGTCCCTGAAATGTTTTACTTCTGATTGTTTATATATCTGATTATATAGTTACGTTTTCTGTTCCTGTATTATATAAATTATATATTGATGATACTCATTATGATACTCAATATAGAAATGTACTTTGCAAAGTCAGACAATATGTGACTCCAGCAGTACCCGGACTTAGAACTAATGATCTACGGTACTCGATGTGATAGGCCTACATACATATCAATGCATTTCTCCCACTCCCGATAGTATATACACGGTCGTAACAATCCCAAATGGCACTGATAATAAATACCACAGTTTTACTGCTAACATTTCAATAATGTTGAAAATACTTGTTTTCGACTCGTTGGGTACCAAAAGTGTTAAACAAAATGTTACGTGCAACGTTTGTTATTGTTGTTGTAGATCACGACGTACTGCTGCGTTACACCGGAAGTCCGATCGACACGAGTTTGCGCACCCACTGATTTAGCGGAATACAGTCCAACATAAACTTGGCCACGTCCCTTCGGGAGATTCTCCTGCTCGTACCTTCCGCGAAATGTCCCTCCATCGCCTTCACCTCTTTTCCTATAAAAACAAGGTAGTAATTAGATAAGTTCATATCATGCACCAGATTACATTTTAGCGGATCTGGCCCAAAGGACCGTTGAGTTTTTGTCATGGCTCGGCGTCCGTCGTCCGTCCGTCTGTCAACTTTTCCTTTAAAACGTTAGAGCTCCTTAAAGACACTGTGTCTATTGACTCGATCTGGCCTATAGCATCACTGGGCAAAGGGGAGTTAAGTTTTCCCCTCACCTATGGGGAAGAGGGACAGGGCACAACAGGGAAACTTTTCAGGTCACCTGAAAAATAGTCTCAAGTGACCTATTGCGATCGCCTTTTGTCCGGCGTCGTGCGTCCGTAAACAATTTACATTTTCGACTTCTTCTCCAAAACTCCTGAACCAATTTCAGTGAAATTTTGCAGAATCCTTCCATAGTCAAAGGTCAACCAAAATTGTGAATAATATGGTCCCCAGCTCACAGGGGCCTGAGGGGCGGCGCCAAAAAGGGTCAAATTGATTAAAATTTTAAAAATCTTCTCAAGATCCAGATATGGTAGAATCAAATACTCCTCATAGATGAAAGGGTCTTAAGGTGCTTTACCAAAATTGTGAATTTCATGACTCTGGGGTCTCACGTTTCCCCCTGGGGAGGAGGTAAACTTTACTATAATATAATTGTGAATTATATGGTCCCCAGCCCCAAGGGACCTGAGGGGCAAGGCCAATAAGGGTCAAATTGACTAAAATTTCAAAAATATTCTTCTCAAGATCCAATTATGGTAGAATCAAATAATCTTCATACATGGAAGAGTCTTAAGGTGCTTTACCAAAATTCAGCTGACATAACCACTATTTGTACATAGTACATATACTACCCAGATCTTTCACACTACTTTTGCATTACATGTAGTTCAAGTTACCTTTGTTACAAAAGTGATTTCTTTTTCATTTGGCAACATCGATAATATATAGGTAATATAAGGTAAGAGTAGTGCCTAAAGACAGCGCCAATATTGGAAATATTTGCAGTATCATATTTAATGAGAATGTTTTGCCATGATAGCTTAAATATCTAGGTATGCGATACAGGCCCTATGGGCCTTACAATTAAAGTTTTATTAAACTCTTTTCATGTCTGATTTCCATAGATACAACACGACCATCATCCAAGGAATGGGAGATACAACAATCAGGTCAGTGCCTAGGAGAGAAATGAACCTGTTTGAAGTAAATCACGTATTTAAAAGGACTTCGGCGGGATCATCTCAATATGTCAACCCTATATGACAATTAAGATGAGGAATAAGGGTTGCGGTTGCTTTATATGTAGCTTTTAAATGGGGAAGAGGATTCAGTTGAAAAGGTATTTCTACGTTTTTGTATCTGCATAAAAACGTGTGAAGCACATGTAATAAGAAAGGAAGGATAGGAGAGTGGTTGATGATGAAAAATCTCCCCTTTCACGAATTTGATAAGGAATGTTTAAAGAGTGGTTGGCATTATCATGCATCTTAACGTGTTCACATGCATGCTGGCATGCTTTCACACATATCAAGGCTTTCATCACATAATAAAAGTATTACATACCACTGCTTGGCCCATTCGTCAATCCAGGGGGTTTGATGACAGTGAAGTCTATATCATGGCACTCCTTCAGTAAATAATCCTCCATTACCGACATGCTCTGAAGGACGCTTGACAAGATCATAGGGCGTATTATGCGATCAAATAGCCAGGGTCCCTTGTTCTGTGCTGGAGAAAAATACATACAATAGTCTCAATATAAGGCTCTTCTTTTTAATGGTGTTATGCAATGGAGCACGTTAATCTTGTGCTTAGTGGTACGTTTGCTATAGTTTAGTTTATCAAATATTACAGGAGAACACGGGGCAGGTTGATCCACAGGGCTAGTTGGGCCAGCAGCGGAAAGGGGTATTTCTTAAAATTTTTGACATCACTTTCACTGATTTTGAACCTGCGTTGATTTTTCCGGAGACAACAAATAGACTTATACAAATTATACGAAGAATTCTTTTAGGCAAATTCTATATATCATTTTTGCCCTTTAAAGTAATTTTCAAGAAATAGGCTAGTTTACATATCATCTACATCTTTTTAATATTACTTGCCTGTATCATCGGTTATGCTGTAGAAGTATAAAGAACAAACGCATTTTTTAGTATTAAACATTAGTTTCTCTTCCCTTTCTTTAAGTGTTTAACAAGCAATCAAATATGATAATCATACATATGGAAGCTCTGTCACGACGTCAATAGTAATAACGTTGCTGGTAAAAGGACGTGTTCACCTGTTTCTGTTGGTAGTTTCAAGGCCAGAAATATTTCCATTTTGGCATTATTCTACATATTATTCAGATATTCTGTGATGAATCAACGATTGAAAATTTCTTTCGCAATCTCATTTTTTTATTTTTTTTAAAAAGGTGTGTCACAACCCAAATCAATGTTGTCGTGAAAAATATTAAATAACTAATATTTCAGGTATACCATACGTTCTATATGCTCACCATTCTACATGATGTGTGTCAAAAGTACCCTGTGTTTATACGCATAGGTGTAAATTGATTATTTCTGGTTTCGCTTAAGTTACCCCGAAAACCTATGCCCTGGTATCGGTTCAACTTACCCAAACGGCCTATTGTACAACTTAAATAACTTAAACGTACATCAATGTGTGTACTTTATCGTAAAATAAAACGAGATACCCAGAGTACCTGTATCGCTCATCTATATATCTAAGCAATCATGGCAAATTATTCTCCAAATAAGATCCAAGGGAATAGACCCACACCTAGGGATGCTTCCAGTCAAATATGATTGATATCCATTTCTTAGTTCCTGAAAAGAAGTCGCTATATGCAATAAAGCCAAATAACCATTTTTGGCGCCGCCCTTACCCCCTTGGGGTCAGACCCGCCATTTGTGCTATTATGAATCCCCGCCTCCCATGAATGCTTCTGATCAAGTATGATTGATATTCTTTGCATAGTTCTACAGAAGAAGTCGTTTATCCCCACCACCTAGGATGCTTCCAGTCAAAATTAGTTGAATTAAAATCAATGGTTAAGTCGTTTGTTGAGGGAAGGACGACGGACTACGAATGACAGACGGATGCGACGGTATGGCATACGCTCACTTTGGTCATTCGGACCAGGTGAGCTTAAAATGCTTTTATAAGATGTGGTTCTTGCTGACCGAGTCTTCCCGATCCATTGGTGTAAATGGTTGTGAGTGACAAAATGTTAACGTACGTATCGTATCAACCGATTTCATGGTTACCAATCGAGTAATCCCGCATCTGCGCATAGCACCGATGATAGGTTTGATGGAATCCATATAGAAAGTTATTGTACTCATGCCGAAGAGACTTGGAGTTGTACCAAGACAGGACATCACTATGTCACATCCTCCAAAATGACAATGTAAATCAGTTTCATTGAATATGTCAACCTTTTCCATCTGAAAACAATAGTAAGATGACGTAGAGGTCTTTAAAACACGATTATACCATATAACGATGTAGTATTCCATAGAGTGTTTGGATCCCCTAAACTGTAATACGCCGTACTCTAGGCTATCGTCCCATCTCCTGTCCACACGATTCCTACAGTACATGTATGACACGTACACACCACACAATGAAGTGCGCATCATTTATCTTAGCCGTAGCCCTCCTATTTTTCTGAACCACAAACAAAACAGATATCGACCATTCACTTGGACTGTCTCACACGTCTGCCCCAACACAGAGACACACACAACCACACTACCTGGCATTATACGCATCACTAATTACAAGACTAAAAACGACAACCAACCCTAGCTTCACATTCCATCAGATACAGAACTCAACCCTGATGTGAGCCCCTAAATACCATGTGACACATGTGGTAAGGCAATCCAATTGAAATCCAGTGCTATATGTTGTGATACGTGTGACGCCTGGTTCCATGTTGACTGCCAAGAAATGAACAAATCATTCCTTTAGTACTACGAACACGTGTGTTCTCTACTCCCTTAGAACACGGAAAAGCCAAATTGAGGACATAAAGACAGCTTTTTCTTGGTCTCGGAAAAAACCCCAATGATTTATCGCTTGGCTGATACCTGTCCTTCGAAGATTACAAAAGAGGAACACCCGACTTCAAAGTCGAGATTCGTTTGGTGTACATCAAAAGATCGAACTATTTTTCTTATCTCATCAACAACATGGGGCACACTGAGTCTTCGAATTTGCTATGACATACACCATTGGCACAGAGGGCGAAGTGAGCGTAACTCCTGGAAAATATGAGCAGAAGGGCCTTACTTGTCCAACAAGGCACTTTAAGGATGACATGACTTAAACAACGAAACGGTCAGCGAAAGAAGATGCCTACTTAAAGATCAGGAGAAGATGGCCCATTGGGCGTGAATGAAGATAAAACCAGCGAAGTCAAGGAGTATGGTACTGCAAAAGGGCAAAGAACAGCAGTTGAAGTTTAAGATCCAGGAGAAGAGATACCAACAGTGATTGAGAAGCCAGGGAAATGTTTAGGAAAGTGCAATGATGACACGGTCATTAACCATGACAATGTGCGGAACCTTCAGACACAAGCAGAAGACTGGATGAGTGCAGTAGATAAGAGCAAGCTGCCTGGAAAGTGTAAAGCTTGGATGTATCAGCATGGGGTGCTCCCAAGGCTAATGTGGCCTTTTCTTATATACGAGGTCCCTTTTACAGCAGGAGAAGAGTGAATAGAGTGAATGGTCAACAAACAGATTGCTCGGAGTTCCTCGCAGCTTCAGCAATATATGAATGTATGGGAAAAGTAACAAGCTAAAGCTCCCACTCACTTCTATCACAAAGGAGTTCAAGGTCACCAAGGTCAGACAACAGATGATACTGGGAGCTAGCGTATAGAGAAGGTCAGGCAGGCGAAGTTGAAAGTGAGAACCGACAGAACGTGGAAGGCATGGAAAGCAATTGGACAGGCATCATCGTAACAGTGGCATCTGGTAGACAAGGACTGGGTACAACCACTAGAGACATCTGGAAAGGTGCAAAAGGGACAAGGAGAAGAGAGATGGTTCAGAGAGATGTAAGATCAATGGAGTAGAAAGAAAGGCAATCAATAACAGTTGCAATGAGAAAACAAGGCATCTGTATGGCATGGGAGCGAGCTAGAAAGCAGACATTGAAATGGATTTACATCTGGTCCATGGAAACAGCAAGAATAAAGTTTCTGCTGAGGGCGGTGTATAATGTGTTACCCAGCCCAACAAACCCGCGGGGACTTATTAATGACCAAACGTGCAAGCTTTGTGGAAGAAACAGTTATCTCGAACATGTGCTTTCAACTTGTCAAGTGGCTTTGGGAGACGGTCGATACACGTGGAGGCATGGTAATGTCCTGGCAACCATTGCAGATTCCATGGAAAGAGAAAGGAAAAGAAAGAGAACAACAACATCCAGTATAAGGTTCCTGAATTTCGTCAAAGGAGGTACAGCAAGGAAAAAGGGTAGATCAGTCAAGAGGGTGCTTTTGCAACAGACTGGCAGATGACAGTAGACCTGAAAGGGAGATCGTCGTTCCCGGCAGAGATTGCTGTCACAACTCATCGTCCTGATATTGCCATCTGGTCACGGACAACAAAGCTGGTTGTGATCCTGGAGCTGACTGTACCATGGGCAGAAAGGAATGAGGCAGCTTATGAAAAGAAGATGGCCAAATATGAAGATCTGGTCAGGACATGTCACTAGATGGCTGGCGGACATGGTGCATGCCTCTGGAAGTTGGCTGCAGAGGTTTGCGGGGCACTCGTTGTGGAAAGCAATGGGTATCCTTGGTGTTACGGGTCAGGAGAGATGACGGGTATGCGGAAAAGCAGGCAGGGAAGCAGAAACATCGTCCCTATTGATTTTGAGGATTCGAGACAGAGAGTGGAAGAGGCAATGATCTTTAACATCGCAAGTTATGGAATCTGTGTTCACTGCGGCAGACCACCCGCAAACATGGCAACGAAGCTGGTTGAGACTGATCACCGTAGTCGGTGCACCTTCGGAGGCCGTCGTGGAAGCGCCGGAACGACCAACGAAGAAGGAACCCATCTGACGATGGAGCTGATGTACAAGGTAAATTAAAATATTTCTTCTACCATAGGGTTTCCCGGATTTTATCCCAATTGTGTATCCATCATTTTGTCTAGTAGTAATAAACAACAAGCAGATTTCACAACACCAGCTCAGTAATAGACATGATTCACCAACTTCAATGGCCGACACTACAAACACGAAGCTTACAACTAAGAATGAATCTTTTCTACAAAAATAGGACACCATCTCGTCGCAATAAACCCAACATCTATACTTACCCCTGTAGACCCTCGAACCAGACACGCACACCCTTACGCATGCAAACACATATCTGCTACAAAGGACACCTACAAATATTCATTCTTCCCACACAATAACACAATGGAATATCCTTCCCATAGCAGCAATATAATGCATAACACACGTTCCCTACGCAGCCCTCACACGCTACTACATACGCCAGGCATTATCGTTTAGCTTAAACCTTGCACCATAAAGTATCCGTAAAACTAATCATAATCGTAAAAAAAAGTCTCACGCCTTTGTGTACATGTACCGAAGCATCAATCAAAATTGATGCAGCCTTCGTAAAAATAAGAAGAACAGTCGTTGCGTTCCATGTTGAAAAAATATGTTTTTTAGTAATTTAATTGTACTTACTTTTGACACATCAACAGGGTCTCAGCGGTCACCTGAGTTATATTATAGGTAACTACAGGTAGCTTAATTTTCTGTTTATATGTGATGTGGAAATCAACATGTAAGCAAAGTTAAATATTATACTTGTCATGTCACCAAAGGATAAGAACTTGTAAAAAATATATTCAAATAAATTATTTTTCTATTGAAAAATACAATATATATTGTTATTAAGCCAATTTTCCTCTTTGGCCAACTCCTAGGATAAGTCAGGATCTTACTTTCTGATACTATTTGATTTCAATTTCATTATAACTATTCCAACCAGTTTTGAATTAGTTCTTCTGAAATGGAAGACATATAGTCAGAAGTATTATTTCCCTATATAAACTATAGTAAACTTTACCCTTTCCCCAAGGGAGGGCAGATGACCTTGGAAATAATGAAATTTACAATTTAGATAATGCTTCTAATGACCTTTCTATCCATGAAGAGTATTTGTAAAACATCTGAGTCTGATGAAGAAGATTGTTTTTAACGTTTAACCATTTCCCCCATTAACCACTTTCCACCCTTCCAGACCCTTGGGTTGGGGCAAGATCTTGTTCTCATACCATGATATTGCCATCTGACATCATAAACATTACAAACAAGTTTAAATTATTTCCTGCTAAAAATGGACAAAATATATTCAAAAGTGTTATTTCCTTATATAAACTTAAGTCAACTTTACCCCACCCAAGCGAGAATGGCTGGCCCGGATTTAATGATATTGAAAAATAGATAAAGCCCCTGATGGAGTTTTTATCCATGCACAGAATTTGATTGTAGTACCTCTGAGTCTGAAGAAGAATGGTATATTTTATTTTCTATTAGGGGCCCCTGCGGATGGGGAAGGAATCCAAATTTTACAATATAATACCTTCTTTCACCAAAGATGATTCTGACCAAGTTTGAATAATTTCCAGCTGAAAATAACAAAATACTCCCAAAAGTGTTATTTCCCAATGTAAACAATAGTCAAATTTACCCCCTACCAAAGGGAGAACGGATGGCCCGGGGTAGCTGATATTTACAATTTATATAAACCCCTGATGATCTTTCAAATCTTCACGCATACAAAATTGACTGTAGTACCTCCGAGTCTTGAGAAGACGATTTGTGAAATATTGGTTAATGTTCCCTTCGGGGCCCTGCCTTGACCCCTGGTGTTGGGGGAAGGAATCCACTTTCCTACTGAAAATTGACAAAATATACCCAAAAGAATTTACCCCCTCCTAAAGGGAGAACGGATGACCCGGGGGTACTGAAATTTACAACTTAAATTAAACTATTGTTGGTCCATCCACGCAGAGAAATTGACTGTAGTACCTCTGGTTCTTGAGAAGAAGATTTTTGAAATATTGGTTTATTTTGCCTTTGGGGCCCTGACCCCAGGGGTTGGAGCAGGAATCTTTACACTTTGATACTATCTTCCGTCAAGGTGATTTTCACCAAGTAGGAATAATTTCCTACTCAAAATTAACAAAATATACCCAAAAGTGTTATTTCCCTTTATAAACTATAGTAAACTTTACCCCTCTGTTTTTAGATTACTGTACGGCATCATGCAAATTGCAAGTCGCCGTACACTGCTATGAGATTATGTCAGCATATTTCTCATAATTTACAACGAGTTCGAAAATATGATAAATGTATGTAATGCATATACATTTTAATTGGATATAGGTAGTG